ACAAGAATATATCCCCTTAACAACAACAGGCGCTTGCCTTCCCTTGAAGGTACAGAGCCATGAGTGAGGTAAAATGAGTGGAGAAAAGAACATAAAGAGAAACCCCTCCTAAAAACAAAAAATAATAAAAGAAGAAGTCTGAGTTAGGGCAGGAGCCGGAATAAAAAGGGAGATGAGGGACAATATGGTTGAGCAAGAGACTGAGTTGGAGAGAGAGGACAGAAAAAAGAAAGAAATTTTAGGGTGGAATGAGGAAAAGAAAAGAGAGAGAGAGAGAGAGAGAGAAAGGAATTTGAAGGGCCTCTTTCAGACTGTCTCTGTTCTCATATTATACCACATGTACAGCCATATGCAGAACCAAATCCCCTGGTCTCAGCTAGCCAATGGCAGTTCCCCACGACTGAGACTGAACACAGTCTACAAGGCCTAACTTGAGTTTCCCTACCCTCAGGGTTGAACTCCACTCAGTTCTATTACAGGTTTCCCCTGCCCTTTCTTTAATGATGCTCAAAGTTGGGAGCTCAGAAAACTACCCTTCATGAGAACCTGTGCCTCTGCAGAGTTGGTCTAAGGACTGGCCCAATCAGGAGGTTTGAGAACGGGGTGGGGGAAGGTTGTGGGGGTGTTTCAAGGGCACCCGCGCTGCTACCTTCCTTACTGGGTCTGTTGTTGCACAGTCGGGTAGGTTGCCCACCCGCCGGCTGATCTCAGGCAGGCAGGCAGCTGAAGAGACCCCTCCGGGGTCTTTTACCTGACTGTTTCTTTAAATGTCATGTACTGCGAACAGATGGACAATTTTCTTCTCTTACCCTGAATCATCTAATGTTGCCAAGGGGCATTCACCAATCTGAGCTCCTGGAAAGAGTCCCCAGAACTCTCTGATGATTATTATGGCACAGATTGATACACAGTCAGTTTCTTAAAATTTATATTGATTGGATCCAAGTCCAATTAAAATTGTACTGAATATAAACATGAATTACCTTTCTTTCTCTTCAGACAAGATATGCTATGAAATGCAAAATTGCTTTATTGTATGCATGTAGCGTGCTTACATTTTGACAAAGAGAGATGATTCAAGGAGCGGATGAGAAATTTCTGGGTAGGGTGAAATTTCTTTCCCTCAAATGAATCAGTCGAAGATGAAGGCTTGGCGAGGTTTAGAAGAGTACAAGGACAATTGTACATATGTGGGCATAGGCTAAAGAGGAAAGGGACGATTTAAAAAATTTTACTGAATTGAAACTTGGAGAGATTAAAATGGAATCTTTCAAAATTTTGATAAAAGTTCTGCATTTCCCTCCTTTATTGTCTGTCCTCTCGCCTCCATGCTTCTGTTCCCTCACCCATGGACCACCAACTGTGTTGTCTCTAACGCTGTCTCTTCCCTCCACCCACCCATGCTTTCACCCATCAGATCCCTCATCCATCCAGTTCCTCTCCATTTAAAAATGGTTTTGACTGCATTTTTACGCAAAAAAAAAAAAATCCAACTAGAATGGCACTACAAAGAAATGCTGCTCGTCAGTTCACTGACAATGTGTGCAAACAGGTTAAATTCCAAATGCTGTAAGTTGTCTTAAAGGAAGTTAATACACTGTGGGCAATTCAGTTTTTACTATTTGAAAATCAGTGTACATATCATTAATAAGATTTCTAAATGTAAAACTACAAAAAATGTATTATGAAGAAGGACCTAGCATGACTGTGAACTGGTGAAAATTCAGAGAAATACAGAACAAGTATCTGTCATCTTTATAGCAAGACACCATATTAGCCGTGGAATAAAAATGACAAAGAAATTGCAAAGATGAAGCAAGGAAGATAAATGTGTGATTGGTTGAAAGATCATATGCATTAAAAATCCAAGGGATTCCACAAACACCAAGACAGACCCAAGTAATTTGGCCATTTGATTGAACAAATTACTGATCCTTCATAAAACATGGGGTACATTGAAGTATGGTTGGTAAAATAATTTCTATCCGCAGTAACAACCTGTTCTTAAAAACTCAGGAATAAATATGAGGAGAAAAACTATTGTATATAATATTGTGTGCGTGAAAGAAATGTAAAACAATATATAGACATGTTGATACAAGTCTCCTTTTATAAAAGGACATTTATATAAGATAAATAGAAAGATTTAGCCACCCACTGATATGAGAATTCACTGTACAACTCTACACATTGTCTATCATTTAACATGTTGATTGGATACACTGCTACTTTAAACAGAAGAGAATTTGATATCACATGTGATCAACCAATCCTAGGATTCTGAAAGAAATTCTGCAAAAGAGGGCTTCAGACATATTGACACTAAAGTGTGAGAAAGGAAATACAAACCCAATTGCCAGGATAAAGTTTAATCGGCATATTCCAGTCACACTAATACTCAAAATAGAAAAAATACAATGAAATTCATTAGGGAATTCTGAGATATAATGTTTTGATGAGAAAAGCTACAATATCAGTAATTCATAAAACTGACTGAGGACAACTGGAACAGAAGATAAAAGAAGTAATGTGATGAATCTTAAGCAAATAGATTGGGATTTATTGTAGAATTTAAAGAACAAGAAATTTACAGAACAAAATTCAAAGTAAAAAAGTGTTTGCTACAGGTCATCCTAAAATTAAGCGTATCATGGAAAAAAATGAGTCCCTTGATTATTGAAGTAAATGCCATGTATTATTCTAACACCTCACAAAAAATAGTGCAGATTTACTTAGAGACATATTTTAGGAAGAACATATTTTTTTAACTACTAAGGTTTCTTTTGCTGGCATGTGTTTTATTTCTGAATCCATGCAGAGAATTTCTCTCTGGCCTTAACAAAATAATGTAGCATTTAGGAGCGAAGATGCAGCCCAGCAGCCCCGCACTGGAGGCCAAGATGGAGAAGACCTCCACGGCCACCATGACCTTCCCCTTGGTGCTGTGGTACACGGGGAGGAAGGTGACCCACACACTGCAGAACACCAGCATGCTGAAGGTCAGGAACTTGGCTTCATTGAAGGTGTCGGGCAGGTTCCTGGCCAGGAAAGCCACGGTGAAGCTCAGCAGGGCCAGGGAGCCCAGGTATCCCAGGACACAGTAGAAGGCAGCGAGGGAGCCCTTGTTGCACACGATGATGATGTGGCCATGTTCCGAGTGTGCATCTGTGTCGATAAAGGGAGGAGAGGTTCCCAGCCAGATTGCACAGAGAATAATTTGGATCAGGGAGCAGATGGGGATGACAAGGTTAGAGGCTCCTGACACCAGTAGCCACCTGATTGATTGTCCCGGTTTGGTAATCATGAAGGCCAGAATCACAGTGATGGTTTTGGCCAAAACAGTGGAAACAGCCACAGTGAAGACGAGTCCGAATGTTATTTGCTGCAGGATGCAGGTGGCTGCGTTGGGCCGGCCAATGAAGAGCAAGGTGCAGAGGAAGCAGGGGAGGAGGGAGATGAGCAGGGTGTAGCTGAGAGCCCTGTTGTTGGCCTTGACTATGGGAGTGTCTCAGTGTCTCACAAAGAGCCCCAAAACCGCAGCTGTGAGAGTAGAGAAGCACAGAGCTGTGCAAATCAGGGCCATGCCTAGGGGATCTGTGAAGGACAGGAAGTCCACGGTCTTGGGGAGACAGCGATCTCTGCCTCTGTTCGGGTACTCATGTGTTGGGCACCGCGTGCACTGATCTGCATCTGCGGAGAAAGCAGAGGTTCAGCAGTCCTTATTCATGAAGTTTTCCATTTTGCCCAGTTGAAGAAGAAGGTTACCCATGCAATATCGCTATGAGTGCATGAGGCTCAAAGGGAGTTTGGAGATCCCCTGGAGTACGTGCCTAGCCCAGGAAGAAAGCTTTCAACTGGGGCTAAGATCAGAGTCCTTCACGTGACCTTCAGCGTTATGGGTTTTAAGGTCACTTCATGCTGTGACTCTGGGATGTCATCACGCCCATGGGGGGTGGGCTTCTCTCAGCCCCTTTGTTGTCACCTCAGCTTATGCCTCACGAGAATCCCTGCACTGACACACTTGTAACACTCACGTAGCACAACTGAATGTACGTACGGCTTTCCTATATCTATACTCAGATGGAGAAATATTTAGTCCTTCTTTTACAATTTCAGTTTTACAAGTCATTGATCTTAATTGCTAGAAGCAGAAGTCTTTCTTCATGGTACAAGTTTATTTTTCTGTGACTATTCCATTTACTTTTCCATAAAAATTTTGAAAAGCATGAATTCAATACAGTAGTATTTTGCCTGCAACTATATTTCTGCTATACAACACTTTAGAGGAACTGATGTTTTAATCCAATTACTTAAGAATATGTGTTTTTTAATAAAAAAAAAACCTTCATGCACTTACAACTGAAAGTGTCTTTCGTAATCCTTTTTTTTTCTTTGTAACATAGTATAAAATAATTTGTGAGCTTGGCATAGATGATGACAATTGCTGAAACTGTTCACTTGTTCTTTTCTAGAGCTTGAGAGCAGTCACAGGGCACAGCTCTATTAATGCGCATTTCTGTGTTTAGTTTAAAATTTATTTATAGGACTGAGAAGCAAGTTTCCCACTCCCATTTTAAGGGTCCTAAGTATGTTTTCCTCCCACAGTGTTAGAGACTTAACCCATGATATCCCCAGCTTCCTTTGTTTTTCACCCTGAGGCAGGGTCTTGCTAAATTGCTCAGGCCCAGCCCCAAGGTGCAGGCTTCCTGCTTCAGATCCGCCAGGTAACCGGGGTTACAGACTGCAGCTCCAACTGGGCTCTTACTCAGTTTTCATAGGTGATCCGCAGGACAAGATTACAGATTTGTTCTGTTGGGTTGCTCAGCCCTCTTCATGGAGTCACCGTGTTCTCCTTGGTTTTACCCATAGATCTGCTTGACACCGACAGGCAGGGGAGTATTACAGTGTGAGTCTCAAGCCCTTTATTTCTTTTTTCTGATTTTATGCATTGGTTTGATGTTTCAAACCTGGCACAAGAGAGAAAGTGATTTTTTGTTAACTTACTTTTACCTCAAAATAGTTACTAGCTTTGCTCAGTGAATGAAAGTGAATGATGCTTCCTGCTGATGTGATTGGAATGGCACAGTAATTTGGAAGGGGTTAATTCAATTTTATAATGTTTATTCTTTCAATGTTCTAACATTAAAGTATTGTAACATTGGTCCTACATTTCTTATGTTACAAAAGCTTTTTGTTTTAATTTATAGCTACATAATGTTAAATGTGTAGACATTCCTTTCAGAGATTTTGGATGATTGTATCTTTCATTGGAATACTGGGTCGTTTTATTTTCTTATTGTACCATAACATAAAAGTCAATAATATGAGATGTTTATATTAATGCTGCATACTTAAGACCGTGCACATGGCACAATATATATTGCGATATTTCCATAATATTTTATGTAGTTTATTATTTCATGAGTGTTCTGATTCCTCAGATGAATGTAAAGATTAAGCATCACAAACATATTACAATAAAAGAGCAACAATTCATGTACTTATGGTTTGTTATGGAAACTATTGGATGGGAAACCAGCGCACCAGCAGATGGGTTGCAGAACTACACACCTTACGCTTCCTGGACGGTCTCTGGACGGGCTTACTGTGAGACTCAGGGTAACACCATCTCGCTCAGGCCTCGAAGGTAAAGAAAGGCCACCCCAGGAACCAGTGCCTCTCTGGAGCACTGAGTGAGGACTGTCAGATACGAGCATGCACATATATCAGTGATGGAGATTATAAATAAGTGTACGGGAGGAGCAATTGTCATGGTGTGGTTTAATGATTTTACCTGTCTGATTGGAAATGTGTCCCTCTGGACAAAAAGCACAAGTAAAGCAGCAGGTAGGTCTTCCTTTCTGTGGAAGTTTTCTAAATCCTGGACCACAGCTCTGGCTACACATTGACTGAGGAGTCTAAAAGAAGAGAGAAGCACTGCTCATGACTCTGCATAGTCTTATCAACTTAGAGTTGTTGTCAATATTTCCCTCCACCTCAGAGAGAAGTTTGACTTTCTCTATGAGATTATCACTACCTCTCCCCCATCATTTCAGTGTTGATACTAATTAGACATCTATTTCAGGATTGCAATAGTTAACTTGCCTTTGTTTCTTTAAGCTATTTGCCAAATATAATGTTACACAGTATCGTGATTAATTTAATCTTTCACCAGCAACATGGTTTGGTTATTTTCTCTTATTTATCAACTTCTTCTACAATCATTAGAGGCAAAGTTCTATATTGTTAGTGATTCTGAGGACTTTCACTCCGGAGATTATTTTACTATGCCATCACACTTGATGGGACCTAGTGATTTTAAATTCTAGATGGTAGAATATAATGACATCGTAAGCTGGCTAAGCCCTGAAAGTTAACTACTGAATTGTGTGGTAGAGAAAGGAAGAGATTATGTTATGAATCACAGGGTTCATTTTGTGCACCTCTGTCCTTCATAATCAAGGTGGGCACTACTTTCTGCACACTAATCATGTATTGCATAGAGAGTATCATTGTTTTACAAATCTCCTCTAAAATTGCATGTGGTGGTTCATGTGTGGAGAGGTGACATGAGAGCCCATCAGTGATTTGGGATGCTATGGAAAACTGAAATTGATGCAAATATTATTCAAAAGGACAAAGACAAAAGAGAATAGTGTGAATGTTATATCAATCTATGACTTGCCATTTTATAGTCCTTCAAAACATATAAAGACTCTGATAATGTATGGCAAGGGCTTCTGGGTATTTGGAGAGGCACGTGTGGTATTAATCTACCTCCGATATCATCTACACCTCTCTTCCTTACCTTTATTCCCATTTCATTGACGGCATCATGAATGACTATACCTTGCTAAAATGTAGTTGTTTCTATAAACTTGCTCTTTCTGCCAACATCACCTCAGATTATCGATCAGAAAATTCAAATAGTGTGAAGCCCAGCTGCAAGAGGTGAATCTAGTGCCGAAATGAAGTCCTGCACTTAGTCTCATCCCAGCACTGCACTCAGATACCTGTTGTATCCCCTATGGAAAGGAGTCGTACCTCCGTGAAGCCAACAGGCCATTCTATCCTCTCTTTGTTGATGACCAAGCCTTCATCATGTGGACTCCCGGAGATGAATTCTCCTACTTTAACCAGCAGCCCAAGACCAGCTGGGAAATTCACGGTGTTCTTGATGTCGTATTGTGCCAGATGACGCCTTTCCTCATCCAAGGAAATGAGGCTTCCGGCACTGTTTGTGAATTCAGTTTTGTTCAGGAATGGATGAAGCTAGAGGAAAGGCATCAGTTTGGAACGGAGAAAAGCACACAAGTTAGAGGTGAGGAACCAATGTGCACTAAGCAGTGCTTTTCCCTCCACCCTCCACTCACGTTTCCTCTTTGATAGGTGGTCTGTCCTGTGTGGGTGTTCACCACCCCATGGGTCCAAGTGAGAACTCTCTCCCCATGTGTGAGTGGGGAAGTAATGGAAACCAATCGCAGCAGTTCTGGGGTGCTGCCTCCTGTGCAGCGCTTCGCAGGATCTTGCTTGCAACGCTGAGCTCTAAGTTCATTTTGGACTTGCTACATGTCAGTCTTTCCCAGGGAGGAGGGCTCTGCATGAGTAAATTCATTTCAGATCTTGATTGTGATGGTTGCATGAATGTATGGAACTGTTCAACCTCATGAAAGTAAAGTCACTAAATAGGTGTTTGTGTTACACTCCAGGGAATTAAGACAGTGTCCAACATGGGTTGTTTTTGTCTATTCCTACAAACTTTTTTGGTGAAAGTGGTTGTCTCGTGACATCCTAAGGAACGTTCTTCATCTTCCTCCCCTGCCCCAAATCTCTCCAGATTCTAACTGGGATCTGAAATAGAGTTATAAACCTGGCATCTATGGTGATCCATCACGTTGTCTTGTGGAAAATAATACATTGTTTCTCATAAAATCTATTAAGTTCTTCAATATCTTAAATAAAAGCACTTTACACACTTCTTAACTATCTAGTAAGCCTTTATGTCGACAAATTCAAATCCTGACATGGTACCCAATCAAGAAGCTGAATGAGGTTTATAAAACATTATTGTTATCCAGACTGGAAATCAGATGATGACTTAAAGTGCATGTCAATGTTTATATGTCTATATTTGTCTTTGCATTTTACATTTTTGATCATATTCAGTAACCTGATTAATGTATTTGTAACTTGAACGTGAGAAGATGACTCATAAAAAATATTTTCCCGCCTATGCTCACTAGGGGGTCGTCCACCGTTTCCACGGTCTTACAACACAGTGAACTCAATAAAACATTTTCACACCCTTACAAGGGACTTACATGAATAAATATTATTTAAGCATGTCATTGTACTATGTTTACATTGATTGCACTCAAAGTGTTAAGTTCTAAATATATTTTTGTGAAATGTTTGCATTGGGCATATTCAACAGATAAAATATTCTGTGAAAAACAACAATGTTTTATTGAAAAGATGCTTTTGCTACCAAGCTAAATTAAAGGACATAAGTTCGTACATATAATTGTGATAATTGTTATTGTTAATTTGTGCTGTGCTAAATGTATTCATGCTTTCTGATTTTACAGGTTTTCTGATGTATTGCATATGAGAATAACCTCCTTTTGATTCAGATATTTGCCTTTCTCTTCCACCCCAGCTACTTATGATAATTTATAGGCTGATATATTTTCTTAGGTGGCATCCTATGGAAAGAGGACAATTTGGGTAAGAGTTTTTGTGTATTTGGAGAAAGACTGTGTTTAGCAATGGTTTTTTTATGCTACGATGGACATTCAAGTGTGTTACAAATATAATGTCATGATTGTCGAGCTATAATATTGTGACTTGATTTGAAGCTTTTTTACTGTTAACATTTTATAAGAATTCATTTATTAGAACAACCACGATTGATAAAATAATTACAGCCTTCTAGCTATATTTTATATTTCCAATTGTTTGATATCCACATAAAGTTATCATAATTAAATTCACTACTCCCATTGCAATACTAATGCAATCGATCATCTCTTCTGAGTGCGCAACAACCAAATTTTAGAGGCCAGGACTAGAAAGGTAACTGGGCTAAGAAGACAGCCAGTATTTTGGCCCTGGCCCTCCAAGGTTAACAAGCAACCCTGGACATGACAGAACTTTTCCATGAGATTGTACGACTTTGGTAAGTCACCCAACCTCCTGAGTAGGAGGATTGTTGGACACCAAAGAGATAAGAATCATGAGTGTGTCAAAAGTTTATCACTTGTAGGCACAAATCTATCAAGTTTTCACAGAAAGCAACATGGTCAAGCAAGGGCGTGAAACATCCTGATGGCTGACACTGACAGGAGCTGAGAAGCTCTATACAGTTTGAAGTAATGCCCATGGGGACCTAACCGGCCTGATAGACAGCGAGAGGTTAATTTTAATTCATATAGGTCTCGCCTTAACTTGGCCTTGAACAGCCAGTAGAAAAGTACAATCCAAAGATATAGAAAGTCAAGACCATGATACTAAAGCTGTATATAATACTGGTTTACCGTTGCTGACCCCTACTGGCAGTTTCCTGCGTCACCCTGTTATGGATCATTAGAAAAAAATCCTATGATAACATTTATAGACCTCAACAAGAGTTTTGAATATTTTTAGCTCAAATGGAGTTTTCCACAATTATTAAATTGTCTTTTTAAAGTGAAACTTAAAAGAAAAATTATGAGAAAATGTCAAAGAAATGACTTTCCCAAGTTTGCAACTCATCGATCACAACCAGCTGCAGATAACCTCCACTAGTCAGAGGGTCTGAGAGAAGGAGGTTCCAATCACTTTAAAAACAGTTTCTAAACAAGGTTATTTTCCCAACCTGCTGTTTTATTTTAGCACTTACACTTTGATTGCACATGCTCTAATTTCTTTAGACATGTTGTTTATTCTTTCCTACAGGCTGCCAAACTCCACGAGATCACATAGATAAAATCAACAACCAATGTGCTGGGCTTTTTTCATCAAAATCCACCAGAACAAAGTTGTAAGAGAGTTTATAATTGGCAAATTACAGCATAATTTTCATGTAAGGCCTGTAAAATCAGCACTGAAGAGAGCCCACTGCTGTGGTCTTCTCTCTAAGGACTGTGCTCAGCTTGAAGCAACTGCATTGAAACTGCACCCTCTCAACCCTAGATGCAGTTGAAGATGCTGTTTAGAGTGGATTAGGATCGACAGCTGAGTCAGGTAGACACTTTACAGGTCCTTGTGACACAGGCCCACTGGGTAACTCATGGGGACAAACTCCTTTGGGTGTGCTCACCTTTCCCTAAAAATGCAGTTACATAACTGGGAAGTGTGGCTACCTCCACAAGCTCAATGAAATCTTTTTTCTTACTTTCTTTCTTTCTATTGGTACCGGGGATCAAACTTGGGTCCTTGCCCTTGTGAGAGAAGTGGAAGAACCACTGAGCTACATTCCCAGCCCTTGTTACTTTCATTTAAAATTTTTAAAATCCACTTCTAGGGGGTAAATATACTGCATTGCTACGCACTGATAAATAAACTTTGCTGATCCAAAGATAGATATGATAGACATGTCCTAGGTATGGTGAGCCTTTATGGTGAGCCTTGACATGGGCATAGCCATGATTGAACTTTGAGTCACCTCGCCAGCACGGACGTGCTGTCGCCCATAGCAACGGGCTAGTTCAACTGGTGGTCTGACCTGTTGCCTAGCAAATGTAACCCATAATACTTGTTTTGCAGAATCTTGTGACCTTTGCAATCAGCTACATCCTGTTTACACTTTTGGTTTCGGTTTTAGCCTATATATACCCCACCCTGAAAAATAAACGGGGCCTTTCTGCGGTAGAGCATGAGCCTGGAACTAAGTTCATGAAACTGCTCTCCCGTTGTTCTTCCCTCGGGTTTGGGACCTGCTGGCAGGGTTCTGACGTTGCGGCTCGCGACACTAGACATGAGCATTATCAAACGATGTCCTAACTAAAAGGTAAATGACACAAAAAAATAATAATGTAGGGGCCAGGGTATGCTTGTTTTTCAACAGAAATTAAAAAGATGCTGTGTCTGTCATCCCAGAATTTGCAGTCATGGACCAAGATGATGGATTCTCTCCAAGCAGCACAACGTGATACTCGCCAAAATCCACATGAAGGCTGAATCTGAGCAACTCTTTCACTTGCTTCAGCCCTGGGACCTCCCAAAATCACCAGACCTGATGCAGCTGTGCTTTTCCAAGAGAGAAGGGGGACTGCATTACTGATGATGCCCAAAGCAGGCTGTGAAGAGTTAGTTCCTCGATTGGCTTGTTTATAGAAGTGAGTCTGGCTGAAGCCTACATGCCAAGGTCAGAGTAACTCCCACCCAGACTCTGCTCCCACGACTAACACCTTTTGACTAGAAGGTCAGTGTTCTAATTACAACCACGCATTTGATCTACTGCATTCCTAATTGGAGAATGCTTTTTCTTGTCCTTTATGAGTATCATTTATGTTAATTTCCATAGAAACTGCATATACCTTCTCTTTACCCAAATTGATTGCCAGTAAAAGTCAGTGCCTGGGACTGGCCAGCACCTTTGTTGATTGCACCAGCATTGGTAGTCCTGACACCGTGCTTTCTCTCTTCTAGTTCTGTCTCTTAACGTAGTATTTTATCAGGCCTGTGTAATATATGGGCAGGTGGGAATGGGAACCTAACTGCCGGGGTCTCTGGTAGTTCAATGCTTGTGTTATGAATTCAGGTAAGACGGGAATAAAATCTACACCAATTTATACTTGAACTTATGGGAATGTGATCAGCTTGTCTATACCTCATGGGTCTGTTATTTACAAAATAGGGACAGACTCTGATCCTGTGATTTTGTGAGATTTGGAAAAGAGTGCTATATACAAACAGTTCATTTCCATTAGTAATTTTAGAATAGAATGTGGAATCATTTTCTATTTGTAGTCAAAGTTTCACATGGAGGGCTTTGGCCACAGCATATTCGGGACTCTGGGTGAAATAGCTGCTTCAGGTATGATGTTCATGTCTGTATTTTGTGGTTCTGCATTTGTTTCAAGAAAAACTATACACCTGTGCCGTGGTTGATTTCGTTAGAGTTTGTCAGGAGTTCTGTTTAGAAATTTGACCACATTTCATGCTATTTTTGGAATTTTTGGATACAATATCTCATTAACAGGCTTGGACTCCCAGCCCCAGGAGCGCTGATCTCCCCACACAGGTGAATGTTATAGATATACCTACATCTAGTACAAAAGAAGCCCCATCCCATTTGCTTAACTCTGCTGCTCTAGACTTGAAAACATTGTCATGGTTCATCCCGTTAAAATACCTGTGGACAGCATGAGGCCGTCAACACTGGCCCTGTTTCAGCAGTGGGTTTACCTGCCAGGGAAGGGACCTGTGCTGCTGTGCGCATTCTGGAGAGCACATTTCGGTTTCCTCCAAGAGCCTTTGATGGAGCGCGTGGGCCACTGCATGAACCGCATTGTAGATGAAATAGCTGGAGTCAGAAATAGTCATCAGGTCAATGTTTCCTGGCAGAAACTGTAAGGAGGTATTCAGGGGGAAAACTCTAATTTTCCCACAAAATGACCCAGGAGGAGAGCACTTCAAAAAGCTGAGCCATAATTTACTGAAGTAAAAGTCTTCAGGGTATTGGGATGGGTTGGATGTGGCGATGAATTGTCTGAGACCAGGGACCTCCACGTTGTGAGGAGAAAGCGAGAAGCCTCCATGGAAGGAATGCAGCATGTGGTTCATCTCGTACATGACGATGTCCCACTTGGCGGTCATGATCCACACCTTCCCTGTGGTTAAATAGAACTCTGCTGCGATGTCCACGGTGATGAGGCTCCCGACCTCCCCATACAGGATGTGCACGTTTGCAGAAGAAACTCTGATTCTGGCCATGAAGGTGATGTCACTAGGTCCATACATTGTTTTAATGGCCAAGAGCTTTTCTGTGAAGGCCACACAGATACCTTTCTTTAGCATCTCTGCCTTCAGGTCCCTCAGGAACAGCTCACCTTTCATGTCCTCAGATATAAAGATGGCCACCCACGTCCAGCCAAAATGCAGCAGTAACGACATCATTGCATGGACCAGGGTGCTGTCCTTGGGCGCCATCTGATAGAGCGATGGATATTGGTGTTTGTCACTGAGCCTGGAATCAAAAGGTCCGTATGTGACCTGGATAAACAAAGAAAAATGTTGTAACTCTTGAATTTAGTGGGATATGTATTTGTTTCTCTTGCCGAGGGCCTGACAGAGTTCTGTCTATGGTACGGCTAGTGAGACCACTACTGAATAAAGGGTCGCAATGGTGTAGAGATTACCCAGTCCTTTCACTGTGAACAGAGTGCTGGGATTTCTTGCTCCAGAGCATTTGGAAAGGGCATGTAGATGTGATGTTCCATGAAAGAATTGTTAGATCTACCAGGACTTTTTATTCCTGGCAGGTGGCTCAAGAAGAAGTAAACTTTGGTGAAGTATCACCAAGGGAGTGGTGTCTGCCTCACCCTCTCCCTGCTGCCCTGGGCTGTAGAGCCACCAGCCAGCAACTACTACGGGCTGTAATCTCTGAGAAAGAAACAGGTATTTACTGTGTTATTCTCTGAAGGTTTTCAAGTTATTGCTGCAGTTTCCTAGCTTGCATTGAGGAACGCATTCACGTACAAAGAGGATCTGTGCATATTCCTAAAATACCTACTCTGTCCATCCATTACGCCTCATAACTGATCTGTATGTTGTTAAGGTTCTTTATGAAGGAACATATTAGAGATACCTGGAAGGAGGAATTCTGTAGTAGTCCTCTCAGGATGTCTGTGTGGGTGAATTTCAGGCAGGTTTGTATAAACTGGGTGAATCCAAATAGAGTTGTAAGAACTTTAGCTGCTCTTTGGACCTCTAAAACTTTATGCCCTCAGTGTTGTCTGAAATAATTCAGATGCCCCAGTGTTCCTAAGCCCACCTTGGAGAGTCACCGGCCTCTGGAGGCTCCTGAGACTGTCACTTTCTGGAATGGGCAGATTGTGCCGTGTAGATATGCCGCGACACACAGCCGTGAGCTGCTGGAAGTCAGTGGTAAAGGAAGTTGGGAAGTCAATACACGGGCACAAGACATAAATAGGGACTGAAGCTCACAGTGACCTCTTATCCCTCTGTTTCTTTTTAATCTCAATTATCTGTGAAGACAGGGAGTTTCCTATAATATTAGGCCTCTTAAAAGATTTCTATTCCTGGTCTCCACATTTCTCTTTGACCAGATGTGAGGGAATGGTATCAGTTGCATTCAAATAAAAGTTCTTACCAACATTCATTCATTCTTACCACTTGCCTATCGGGATTTGTAGAGTTCCAAAAGTGTTCCAGTCTCAGCTGAAAATGCTGCCATGGTTCCTGCAATGCTGGCGGCAAATTTGCTGTGTGTCTTACAGTTGTAGTTGGGGAAGAACCTCCCTGTTCCCGACAGCCAAACCAGAGTGCTCCACAAGATGAAGTGGTCACTAGTGATAGCTTTGTAGATGTGGAAACCCAAGGTGACATTGGGCAGCAGCCGGGAGTCCTTGTTGATCTCCTCCAGAGCAAAGTAGAAAGCCACTATATACTGGTAGTTCTTCCACAACCACCTATTAAAGTAGAAATCATATCCATTCTACAAATGGTATCCAGAACATTGTAGAACGTATTTAATTTCCTATAGTGTGAAAATAGCAGAAACTTGATTCCCTAAATAGACAAAGACACTGAGGCTGAAAGCAGATTATTGTATGATGATACATGCTATGCTCTAGATTAAGCTCGAATACATTGCAAAACATGAAATTATCCAGAGAGAAAATATCACGAATGATTTGGATCCATTATTGGGGATCCTTCCAAGTAAGCAAATCTTTAGTTGCACAAAGAAGATTCATGCCTTCCAGGAATAGAAGGAGGAATAGGGAGAAGCTATAGATGATTATGTGGTCTTGAAAGTGTGCTGGCTTTCCTGCCATGGTTCAGCATAAAACATCTTCAGCTTTGTCAATGAGGATATCCTTTGAACTAATAGTTTAAATTTACTCATATTTAACAGGGAAAATGTACCCAGCTCATTTAAAAATATTAGACGTTTAAGTACCATAGTACAGAAAATTACTATTTTTAATTAAATTGAATTTATTGGGACATTTTAGGTGGATGGTACAGTTACGTTCATCACAGGGATCTTGTACCTTTACATGACAGGTCTTGGTTCTAATTTTTCCCCCTTGTCCCCACCCTCCCTTCACCCCTACAGAAAATTATTTACAATCAAAATTTCAAACATTAGTTACATGAATGATTTCACACTCATGTAAAGTGAAAAATAGCAGAGATGTTCATTAATCCCTATGAATTATGATTGTGGTAAATGTCTAGTGACCAGAAGACCCCTTTCTGAATAAAGTTGAGAGTCTGTGCCCATATTAGGATTTGCACAAGTACAGGAACAGCTATTTTTATTGTTTTCTAAGCACGCTGTCTTTATTGTTTGATAAGCATGTGTCTGGCTATTTTGCAAAGGAGATTGGCCAGAAGCTTCTCTGGTGATAACTTTTCTTCTTCACCCCCACTGGTCTTGTGAACTCAGTTGACCCCCAGGTTCTCAGGAGGTCCACAGAGTGCCTGGGATTACAGATGCTTTCCTTCTCTATTATCAATTCATACTCTCCTATCTGTGACCAATGGGCAAAATCAGTAGCTGTCACCTAACCAGAGATTTCACATGCATGAAAACATGACCAGAAAATGGTCCAGTTCCTATTTTTGGTAAATAAGGAAAAAAAGAAAAAAGGGAGAGAAACTGAAAATCAAACAACAGGAAGAATGACAGACAGTAATATGTCTGAAAACAACACAGACAGAAAGCTAAAATTCTGTCCAACAAGTTTGCAGCCTGATTTCTTCCCTCTTTTATGTACGTGTTTTTGTTGAAATGAAAGCATTAAAATGTCAGCAGAAAGTGCTAAAGATAGACACACCTATGGAATCAAACTGCATTCTGCCCAACTATCTTAGGACTTGTACATATTGATAATTGAGCACATTTTTAGCATACTCAACTATTGTGCCTTCTAAGCATGCAAGGAAAAACATACTAATCTGTCATTACCCTTATTAAAATCAATCTGACAACTCAGTTATTACAGACACATGCCTACTGTTGATTACATCTTGAATGAACGAATTTTCTTCTTTCTGGAAAAGTTAACAATGAGGTTCTTGCAGTAGGGCATTAACCCCTTTCAAAGGATGGTTTCTCTTCTCCTCATGAACTTCAAGGTTGGGGAATGAATGACTCAGGTCGGATGAGATTCCACTTTGGATCCTTTGTGGGACATGGTCTGATTTGGCTGGTGCATCTCAGGAAAGGTTGGCCTCATGCTGAGGCATATTTCATCAATGTCCTAGTCCAAAGTGGCCGAGAGTGAGCTACTTGATTTTCAAGTTACTGTGAGGCCAGCGCTAATTTTCTAGGGGGTCTATGTCTGCCACTTCGTAGATAGTGGAGAAGCAGGTGCTGAGGTAGCAACAGTTTCATTCATTTGAAGGATCCCCTGCTTGGCAAAGAGCATGCCTTTGATGGACTGGACACAGAGACAAGGAATTCTATCATCTGTCTCTTATGCAAAGGAGAGCAAAAGACAAGTGAAAAAATGTGGAAGTATCAGGAAGCAAAAGAATCTCAGAAATCATTAGTGTGCCTCCCTGCTTGGTCTTTACATTTTTAAAAATATAATTCTGAATGTGCACATACACAAGCTCATCCAATCACATAGAGTCACATCCATATTTAACACACACACACGACTGGGAACTTACCTATTGGCTCTCATGTTAGCTTTGGGCTGAAATAAAAAAGATAGACGGAATATCTCTGGATCCTGGTGCATGTAGTACAGAGTGAAAAACCCACCAAGCACAAAGTCTCCGTCTCTTTGGACACTTGGACCCAGGTATCCTAAACACCATGAAATGTCCCACTGGGAGGTGTGCAGAGCTTTCAGGAGTAGGAAGAGGAAAATCAGGAAGGACATGGTAGGCTCTGCCCAAATGGAGACCAAGCTCTTTTTGTAGTGTAAGGTGAGGAAACGGAGCTGTTTCATGTCTGAGGACTGAGCCCTCTGCCATGAGAATCAATCTCCGTGTATGTCACAGAGAAGCCCCACAATCATCATTTGCCTTCCCAAAATGGGGAGCATGCAGAACTGGCTTCTACACAGGAGCACAGCTAGCGGCCCAGTGATGTATCAGTAATGCAGCCATGGTGGAGACGTGTCACCCATGGTGACATTATGGCTAGAGCACTGCTTTCTCCCTCTTTTCAATGCTTTGTGTCTCCTCAGCTATGCGCTCTGGGGATCTCGCTGCCCTGGGGCTCTGCACCTGTCACCCCATACTTGGTGGAAAACATGTTTGGGGCTCCTTCTCTTGGCTATTTCATCATTTTCCACCAAGGAATTGGAGACATCACCCTGAGACAGTGGGCTTTGTAGTTTTGTATTTGCAGGGAAACAGTCTGTTTGTCAGAGCCTGTTGTGAGGAACTTGGCATATTTCCAGTGTTGGTTTTGAAATCAAGACACATCTGCTGGAAAAATCCCATTATGATGTCTTGAGGAGAAATCACATGACTGAGCTTAAGCTTTGACAACCAGTTGTGCAGCCCCCAGAATAGTTTACATGGTTTAGTATCATTCTCATGTCTGTGGTGCACTCCAGGAATAAATTCTGGACTTCATGATTTACAATGCAATACGCTACATTACGGAGACCAGTAGCCCTCACATACAACAGAATTTCAGTTGTTATTTCTGAGCCTTCTCTGTACTCTGACCACTTTGAATTCTCACACCATTTATCCTCTCTCTCTCTCTCTCTCTCCCTCTCTCTCTCTCTCTCTCTCTCTCTCTCTTTCTCTCTCTCTGTCTCTCTCTCTCCCCGTCTGCCTTTTCTAGACCTGGGAATCAAACTCAGGACCTTGCACTTTCCAGGCAGGCGCAGCACTGCTGAGCTATATCCCAAGCCCTACATGGTTTCTTGTGTCACCACAAAAAGGAACTTTACTCTTGAGCCTGAGCCAACACTTACACCCTGCATTCCTTCCCTTGTTCCACCACTCTTCACGGAAAACTTTTCTGAGTTTTTTGCTCGTGTATTTATTCATAGTTTGTTGTTGACAAATACAAATAGAATACATTCATGCACCTGAGCTAGGTATATTGTCACTAGTATATGCTGTGGGATTGTTCTATCAAACTAGGCATCTCACCCATCATTGTGGTAAAAAGATACAAAATGCAGTGTTGAATTGTCACCTACACTGAGCACGACGTGCATCAGAAGTGCTAAAATGATTCCTTCTGTCTGACTGGAGTTTTATGTCCTTTGCCCCAAATCTTCCTAAATGCCTCCATTTGCTGGTTTACTCCTGTTGCTATGAGTTTGACTTTTTAACCCCTGAAACGAGGGAGATCTACAGTGTTTTTCTCTGTGTCTGGCTTATTTGAGGGAACACATTCTTTAGATTGATTGACGTTTTTTAAAATGACAGAATTTTGTTTTCAAAAAAGCATAGTAGTATCTTACAGTGACTATGTACAAGTTTCCTTTTTCACCTGTGAATGGTCGCTCAGGTTGATTCTGTATTGTCGCGAGCCGGCGATGCAGAGCACTGTCCAGCAGTGCCTCAAACCTGAAAGAGCAGCGGGGTGGAGATGGGGCAGAGAGAAAGGAAGGACGCCAAGACAAGAGTCTGATCAAGGCGACATTTATTGCCGGCAAGCATCAGCCTTTTAAAGCAAAAATAACCACAAACTATTATGGGATGGGGTTACCATAGTAACTGAAAGTTCACACAGGAAAAGAGCAAACAGGCTCAACAAAAACAACCCACCGTGGGTAGTAGTAACCCGGACAACCACACATCTGAAGGTCAGAGACAAGAAACTGTAACTTTCAGGAATTCCACAAAGGAAACACACCACCTGCTAAACTGGAGAAACTTAACACATACGGAGTTACTAAAGTTAACAATACTTACAACCAATACTCATGATCCCCACACCGTATCTTGGCTACTTGAATAATGCTACAAAGAAATGGCAGTGCAAATACATTTTGAACACAGTCATTTTTTATTTTGTGCATTAGTCACACTCAGTTTCAGGATTGGTCGATCATATGGAAGTTCTGTTTTTCACTTTGGGAGCAGCCTCCAGTTTCCTGAAGTCTTCTTTTTAATATTCCCTTGTGCATCGTGCAAGTGTTCCCTTGTCTCTACGTCAAGTAACTTTTACCACATTTCAAGCTTTTTATCACTGCATATTTGTAGAACAGCAAAAGTTAGTGATAGTATCTTGCTACATGTGTACAGTGTTACTTT